GGCAAATTGGTTGAAACTATAGTAAAGAACAGACTTATCAGACACACAGATGAACACGATTAGTTGAGGGAAGAGTCAACATAGCTTTTGTAAGGGGAAATCATGCCTCACCAATTCCATTAGAATTCTTTTGGGGGGGGGTGTCAACAAACATTTGGACAAGGGTGATCCAGTGGATATAGTGTACTTGGACTTTCAGAAAGCTTTTGACAAGGTCCCTCAACAAAGGCTCTTAAGCAAAGTAAGCAGTCATAGGATAAGTGGGAAGGTGCTCTGATGGATCAGTAACTGGTTAAAAAATGGAAAACTAAGGGTAGGAATAAATGGTCAGTTTTCAGAATGGAGAGAGGTAAATAGTGGTATCCCCCAGGGATCTCTACTGGGACCAGTGCAGTTCAACATATTCATAAATGATCTGGAAAAAGGGGTAAAAAAGGTGGCAAAGTGTGCAGATGATACAAAATTACTCAAGATAGTTAAGTCCAAAGCTGACTGCAAACAGTTGCAAAGGGATGTCTCAAAACTGAGAGACTGGGCATCAAAAATGGCAGATGAAATTCAATGTTGATAAATGCAAAGTAATGCACATTGGAACTACATACAAATGATGATACAAATACATACAAAATGATAGGATCTAAATTAACTGTTTCCACTCAACAAAGGAATCTTGGAGTTACTGTGGATAGATCTCTGAAAACATCTGCTCAAAGTGCAGTGGCAGTCAAAAAAGGCTAACAGAATGTTAGGAACCATTAGGAAAGGGATAGATAATAAGACAGAAAAGATTATAATGCCATTAGATAAATCTATGGTGTGCCCACACCATGAATACTGCATGTAGTTCTGGTCACCCCATCATAATAAATAAATAAATAAATAAAATAAAAAAAGATATATTAGAATTGGAAACGGTACAGAGAAGGGCAACAAAAATGATTAGGGGTATGGAACAGATTCCATATGAGGGGAGATTAAAAAGACTAGGACTGTTCATCTTGGAAAAGAGACAACTAAGGGGGAAAATGATAGAAGTCTATAAAATCATCACTGGTGTGGAGAAAGTGAATAAGGAAGTGTTATTTACTCCTTCACATAACACAAGAACAAGGGGTCACCCAATGAAAAGAATAGGCAGTAGGTTTAAAACAAACAAAAGGAAGTACTTCTTCACACAACACACAGTCAACCTGTGGAACTAATTGCCTGGGGATGTTATGAAGGCCAAAACTACAACAGGGTTCAAAAAAGAACTAGATAATTTCATGGACTATAGGTTCGTCAATGGCTATTAGCCAAGATGGATGGGGATGCAACCCCATGCTCTGATTGCCAGAATCTGGGACTGGATGACAGGGGATGGATCACTTGATGATTGTCTGTTCTATTCATTCCCTTTGAAGCACCTGGCATTGGCCACTGCCAGAAGGCAGAATACTGGGCTTGATGGGCCATTATGCTGTGCAATGAGGTTGGTACCTAAAGACTTCCCTGCTCCCCCTCCCAGGAGAGGCTGATCTCACAGTGGTGGTGAAGGGAAGTGGATTCTAAGGTATTTGGGATTTTTCAGGATCAAAGATGCTAAGTGTTATTGCAAGGTGACATTATTTTCCAATAGTGTTTTTTCTGTCCTGTTCTTACATATCTGCAGTGATGTTTTGACTACTTACCTAGCCCAATTACTCTTAAGATCTTTTTTCCCCTAACATATAGCCTAAACTTTTTCTCACTTAGTTTCCTTGCTCCTTGTCCTACCATTTGAGAGACCAAATAATTCTCTTCTTTTATTTACATTGTAGTCTGAAAGGTATTTATGGAATGTGACATTATGCCCTCTTACCTACACCAAGTTATTTTCTGTGGACTATGAAAATGTCTCTTCTCAAAATGTCTTATTTGCCAATCTTTGGATTTCTTATATATGTCCTTGCAAATTTACGGGAACAAACCAGAAGCGCATATAATAACACAGATGAAGTCCTGACAAGATGCTGTAGCAAGGTATTATTACCTTCCTAAGCAATACACCCACACTATAATATATGTCTCTTCAAACACACACAGTGCTTTTGTCGTGCAAGGTCATGCTTAGTTTTCTATAGATTATTTCATGTAGGTCTTAATCAAATTAGCTATTTTCTAGACAAATAATTTACAGACTGAAACACAGATATTCATTTCCTCTTCCAGTATCAAAACTTCACTTATATCTATATTAAATCTCATCCTGTTGCATGTGCTCTATGGTGAAGGGGAATCATAGGGGAGTCAACATGAGTGGAAGGGACAAAGTAGCTGCACAGAAGGAAAAGTTACTACAAAGCAGCCTCCCAATTATGGCCAAAGAGAACTACCTCTGGCCTCTCCACGGATGCAACACAAATACTCAGTTTTGCATGGTCAAGGCCAGAACATGGGGGTAGAGACGAGGACTCTGAAAACAGCCACTCTACATAGCATGTTCCTACCTGAGAGCAGCTTGTTACAAAGAAAAATCATTTTACAGGCATTTAAGATTTTAAATGTTATGATGATGATGGAGGAGCTCCTCCTTTTGAAGCTTACATATTGTGAAGAGGGGAGGACAAACAGCTAGTGGGGATCTACCTAAGAGGCTGTGCTTTAGGAAAGCCAGGGGGGGGTCAAGATTTGCCAAAACTGACACTGTTGTTCCCAGCAATTTCTTGCCTTCTGTGAGAATTGTCAGTAGTCACATACCCTGAGTGTTCTACTCTGCCACCTGTCCCATCTCCAATGGTGCTAAAGATATCTCAGGATAAGGCCTCAAATTCCATGCCTTTTAACACAAAAAAGGGAGGATATGTGCCTTAAGGCAGTTGATTTGGAAGTATTGGACACACTTCACACCTTTTATAATGTTCATCCAGAGATATTTCAATGTAAATACATATTCTTCCCTCTCACTGCATCTACACTAGCAAAGTTAGTACCTGTTAACAGTAACAACCAGCAGAAATGCACCTGCTCTGATCCTATTACACTAATGTAGACTAGGTACTTTTGACACTGTCATAAAAACCTGCTTTGAGCCCTGTGTCCACTAGCATTTGCACAGTAGCTGAAATATGGGTACTAATTTTGCTAGTGTTGACAAGGCTTTTGAGTATCATAACACTGAGTAGCCATTAGATCTTATGTTTCATTGAAAGTAATACAATTCGATTATCATCAATCTTTGGTATGCTGCATCTCTGTAGTATGAGGACAGGCAATCTCTTGTCATGCATTTAAAAATGGAACTCCCCAGTCTGGCAATCATCCAATCTGAAGGGCTCCATTTTTTAAAATATAACTTTGAAGAAACGTTTAACAAGGAATATTTTCACTAGTTCAGTGTGACATTATAATACAAACCTAACATGGAAAAGTTCTGTCACATTACTAAAATTAACTTCCCAAATCCATTTATTAAAGCCTCATCAGTAAAAAGGAGTCATTTTAAAATTATTTTCCTTTTGTTATCCTTAGATATTTGCTTTAAATAAAATCTGGAAAGTGTAGCATAATTTAATTGGTTCATTGGACATATGTTTATCTGCTTAAATGATTCACCTCATGAACTGAAAATCAGTAATATTACTGTTGTTTCTCTGCATAATTCAGCCATATAACTGCTTCATAAGTTAACTGGTTCTTTGGACTATTGATCAATTGCACAATAATTATTTCTTAAGATCGCCCATTTAATCACCTCTGTCCTTCTGGACTCTCCTCCCACACCCCTCAAGCCCCACTTCTCTCATCCTGCTCCATCTCCAAAAAAAGGGCAGTCATCCCTGACTCCTCTATCTATCTCCCTGCTCTCATGGAGAATGGTGTCAGAGGACAGAGGATGAAACCTGGATCTCCCTTGGAAACTGCTCTGCTGCTCATGTGGAAGCTACGCACTCCCCACCCCAAATCATCCCCAATGGAACATATGTTGGGGGCACTGGGCTTCTCCTCTCCCGCTCTTTGTGCTCACAGCCCCTCCCTCGCTCCTTCAAACAACATTTCCTCCGACACTTCTCACCTATCCCCTCCCTGTAGCTGTCATCTACTACCCACCTCACTCTTCCCCAACCCTTTTCTCACTGACTAACTCCTGACTCTCCTATCTCATCCTCAGTGCCATGCCAAACTCTCCACCACCTTCAACTCCTTTCTCCCTCTCATTGCAAGGCCTGTCCCAGCAATCCCTAGCTCTTGCTCATCACCAGTATCTGATTCCTCCTGCCCCTGAAGAAAGCCCAGTGACTACACAACTTTCATCTATTCATGTTCTCTCCTTCATCAGTCCTGCCACCCTCCTTCACTACTTCTTCATTCTGACTCTCATGCTGGAAATCCCTAGACACCATTTTTCCTCCCTCCTCAAACCCTCCCTGCCCCTCTCTCTCTCTCACAATCTTGCCAAGTTTTCAAACACAAGAACAACAAACTTCTTTTCCTCGCTTTTGGGGCCCTGCATAATTTAGCCTCTCCCTACCTCTCCATTCTTGGAACTTCTGCTGCCCCTTCCAAGGACGATAACTTTTATCACTGGTTCTCCATACATCCCTTATGCCTGAAAACCGCTCCCCCAATATATCCACAAACCAGCCACCTTGTCCTAACTAAAATCCCTCCTTATGACCGACTTCTACTACGATGCCTACTGTAAATGGCCTGTTAGCCATGATCATTTATAAACAAGGGACATTAAAACTTCCTGACTACTATCATTTAAAAAAAAAAAACTTGAAAGTTGTAGTCTGTCTACATAATCACTCTTCCCTGCCACTGTTACCCTTGTCCTCCCCGCTTGTTTATTACATTGACTTGCTCCATCTTGTCTTAAGTTAGATTGTAAAATATTTAAAGCAGCGACTATGGGTTTGTACAATGCCTAGCACAATGGACCTCAGATCTCATTAGGGCTTCTGGGAGCTACTGTAACACTAATAATAATTAATGGAATCAGATGAGAGCATGATTTTTGAAACTGGTAAGGAACTTACCGAGCCATACAGTTCTCCTTTTTCATTCATTCCAAGATAGAGTCCACTGTCTACCCCTCGAATGCTGACCAGGCCCACTGCTATACTGATAAATTCCAGTATACCTGCAAAATACAGAACAAAAGAAATGTACAGGATGTTTCCATTTGAAGATTATTTGCTTTTGATTGATCACTAATTGACAAGGAGATATTATCAAAATTGTTTTTCCACTTTAGGGCTGTCTCTCCAACAAGTAGGAGAACTACTGAATGTGTTATTTTAAAATACACAATATGTGAAACAGTTAACTCTCCTAAGCCTCTACTAGAATGATGCATTGCAGATAGCATAAGGGTGTCAAGCGAAGAGATTATTCTCAACCTTTCCCAGCATTTTTTAAACAAAACTCTACAGCATGGTCATATTACACAATGTTTATCAGTATCCTGATTTGCACCACAAACAATAAATTCAAAGAAAAAATGTAAAGTATTCAGATAGATTCCTTAATCATGTTAATTTTGGCTATGAAATTTGTTTTGCCAAATAAATCCCTAAAAACATGTTTTAATAAAAATTGCAAGAGGAAAATAAAATGTTATATGTTTGCTATGAGAAGCATTTATTTCCAAGCATCATCAAATGAGGAATACATACATGGAAAGAAATCTACTCACAGCGCAGTCCTCCAAAAACTTGAGAAATGAAAATCTGAGGTGCAGTACAGAGCCTCACACACATTTGTCTACAAACTATTCATCTAACTCTCTGGGATGATATTTTTACTCATCCTAACTTTGAAAATTTAAATATTCCTGCTCCAAATAAACCTGCATAAATGATTTTTGTACATTTTACATTAATCTCCCAACGAGGCATTTGTGCACTACAGATCAGAATGTTCTGCAGAGAAACACTGTTTCTGCAAAGTTCCCAGAGTTCAGGGTGCACGTGCATGGTACAGCGAGTATCTGCAACACCAAGTCACCTGGTTCTGGGTTTTTTTCCCCTCCCTTCCCTGCAAATTGCTTACCTCATCAACGAGGATGCTACCACCCAAGACTTGTACAAATCTAGAATTTCAGTGGAACAAAATAGACATCGTTTTTCATTTTGGAGTATTGGTGCAAGACTACTATGATCTCATAACAACTATACTGCAACATTAATACAAAAGAAGCATATTGCTGCATTAAGCTACTTTCTGAACCATATGATAAAATGTAGAGAGGCATTTTCAATAAATTGGTAGAATATGTGTATCTAAAAAAAAGCTTATTGGAAATTATATTTACATAAAACAATAAAATAATAGTGTAATATTGCACTGTTGAGGTTTATCTGGCTAATAAGTACTTTCATGGATTTATGACCAATTAATTTTTCGTCTCTCACAAAATAGTCTGTGCACTAATCAATAACAGGCATGAGCCACATAAATATAATAAAATATAAGTCAAAGCCTATGGGAAAATTTTGTAGCCAAGATAATGTAATGTATTCCCTATAAGGGACTATTGATCATTACTTTATATATTATTCAGCACTGCACTGTATGTTTACAGTTTTGATAACCCTGACATATTAAGGCCTATATATTTTAAATTGCTTTGTACATATGTACATAGAGAGGGGGCTTCACAAATATAGTGGGGAAATATTTGGTAATTATGGAATTTTGTCTTTGAAATAACAACAAGAGATGGTATGCAACATACAGTATTTATGGTGGTGTTTCAGACACAATCAGCCCATTGAAACAATTAAAACTTTCCCCTTATCATTGCATATATACTTCCAAATCTTGTTAATGAGGCTTCTTCTGTAAGGCTTTCATTGAACTATCATATTACTTGATATACATTACCAGGGAATTTTAAATGAGCCAACTCTTATATTAAGTGTATAGCATTCCATATTGTAGCTCTAAGTTAGTAATGTTGAGCATGTATAAAAGTGGAGCATAACCTTAATTGCTACTCTAATTTCAAATATTTAGGTGCACATTGCTGACTGTCTGGGGGGTGGGGGAGAAGTGCTGTCATATGTTCTATTGCAGCACAGTAGCAGATTTTTCAAGGTAACTGGCAATCAACACCCACATATTTGAGATTACAATAGAGCCATATGAATATTTTAAATACACAAGCCCATTCACAACTAGTATTATATATTACACACTAGAGTACTTCAAGAGATTATTTTGGGCCTACCCTGTAGTCCTTACTCTCAAGCAAAACTTTCATTGACTTCATTGGGAGTTTTGCCAGTTTAAGGATTGCATGATTTGGCCTTATGCCCTTGTGAATATTTTCACTTTATAGTTTGTGTAATGTACACGTAGTACTTACAAGTTGAATCGGATAGTAAATTAAAAGGGGTATTTTCCCTTCAAAATTAGAGTAGTCCAAACCAAAATACCAGGACAATACACCTCTAAACTTTGAGGCTTAGGCCCCATTTGTAGTAAAAAATCTGACAGCCTCCAAAATGAAGATATAATTTTCTAAAATGTGTGAGCATCTTATTCTCAGACACTGAGTATTTCTGCTTCGAGGCAGAATCCAACTTCTCTCTAAGGAAGTTGGGAAGAAACTTCTCCTGTGGGAAGGTTATTCAACAAATGCCTGCATCGGTATTTCTTGCACCTTCCTCTAAACGATCTAATACTAGACCATGTTAGAGATACTGGACTAGATAGACCATTTGTCTGACCATGTAGAGCAATTCCTATATTCCTACCAATGTCATGGGAGGTGAGTGGGTACAACTTTTATCTAGTCTAATACACAATAGTAAAGAATGGAACTACGAATGTATTTTCTTTGGCCTTAAATAATGAATACCACCTTTCAGCTAGGGACTGTGTTTGTCCCACCCTTTGTACATTTCTGTTTTTCACTCAATATAGTTATTTATTTTTCATATTGCAGGACTGAGGCACATGTGGCTTCCACTTAACACCCTAAAATGTCATAAATCACCAATACACTAAATAAGCATCATTGCCATCAGCGAGTTATTTGTGAAGTTTCCAGAGAGGAGGTAATGAGGTGCCCAGCAGAGAGGAGGGAAGCCACAAAGGACCTGGAGCCAAAGAGCTAGGTAAATAGCACTGTGCTCTAGTATATTTAGCAGGTGATAATGCTTCCACAGAAAAAATAGAGAGGAGGAAAAAAGATATACTCCCTGGCTATGAAGTTACTGAAGTTCAGACTCATGAAACAGATAGCTCAAAATGGGAAGGGGAATACAGGAAAGAGAAGGGGGGGCGGGATTTCCCAGGCTTTCCCCTAATCCCTACAGATCACTGGAGCAGCCCTGCTGCTGCAGCTTCTTTCTGGACACCTACTGTCTGCTTTTGGAAAGCTCCGATTTTGGCACTCAGCTGGAACAAACATTTCAGCTGGGAAGTACTGCCTGCCAGTCACAGCTGTCACCTCTCTTTTCCTACATGGCCACAGTAGGCCAATTAAAACACCAGAGAGCAGCTACAACTCCCCGAGAGGCAGGAGGGCCCCTCAGGCTTTGACAGAGCATGTTGACCCTAGATAACTTAAAATAGCTGGCAAAATTGCTGGTTGTATTGGTCAGTGGCAACCGCAACTCAGCTGCAGTTCCAAGGATGCTATGTTTTGTTGTAGTTACTGCATCCAGAGGTGTTACAACGTTTCTGGGGGTGGTGCTGCTGCATCATCGCCACCACACACACAGAGCAGCAGTCACTAACGGGGGAGGGGAAGAGAGAAAATGGGAACATTTTTTCTTGCAGGCTTCCTTTCCTCTCTCTGGTGTCCTTTATTTCTCATCCAGGCCCCTGGAATGTAGTCCTTACTCAGGCTAGACACCCCTGAACTCAGTGAGAGTTTTCCTTGTGCAAAGACTGGATAGCCACCTGTCTTGGATGATTTAGACATAACAATTCCTGCATCTTGGAGGAGGTTAGACTAGATGACCCTTGCAGTCCCTTCTAACCATATGGTTCTATGATTCTAAGACTAAAGGATAGAGCTAGCTACCTGCATTTTTTTTTACAATGCCAGCCCTGTCCCCAACCCAGTCCCTTCCAAGAAGTGAGTGGAGGGGGTAAAAAAAAAAAGAGAGAGAGACGAGATCACATATACACACCACCAGAAGGAGGAAGGGAAAAGTGCCAGAAGCTGTTTCTGCTGCTTCCACTCCTGTTTCTGGAGCTATTGTCTGCACCCCCCCCTTCAGCCGGGCGGGCAGCAGGGGAAAGGATGTTAGTCACATACACTGCAGCCACTGCCCAAGGATTGCTGCAGAGATGCTCTAGGTCAGGCCATGCAGCACCCTGTGGATCACTGGCCTCCACAAGGGGAAGAAACCCCGCTAGATTTATTGTTCCCTGCCTTGGCGAGCACCTCAGCCTGCCCCCTGTCTCCCACAGGCTCAACTCTGGCTGGTCCCGAAGTAGCTCCATAAAACACACTGCGCCCACACACACCTTTCTCCCGAACAAAACTCGGATCCCAAGCCTAACACAGTCGCAGGCTCGCAGCGGTCACGGGTGACTTATATAGACAGTCGAGTGGGTGGTTTGCAGGAGCTTCCTCCTTCCCTTGTTGCTGGTACAGATGCTGATTGCTGCGCTTCTTTGTGGCTGCGGGTCCCGAAGCGGAGGTCACCTCTCAGCATCTTCCCCCCCCCCCCGCCCCCCTGCATATTCCTGGGTTTTTAATGCTGTGCATGCAGTGCGGTGCTGACGCAGAGGGCACGCCTCTCACTGTCCCGGAGTTACTGAATTTACAATGACTCCACTGTCTACCAAATGCCCTAGACCAAAGGAGACTGCATCAAAAAAATCCTTTGTCACCCCAGAGAGATAAGGCTTTGATCACATGGGATGGCATGGGGGGAGCTAATTCTGCTGTCACTGCGCGATTTTTTAAGGTGTACGTTTGGCTGTAAAAATACAAACTATTAAGGCTCCCAGAACACAGGCGAGCTGGATTCATGGCACGCCTCCAAAATTGCATCCCAAAGTCGACTTTTTAGCTGAGGGCTCCTCTGGGGCAAAGCGGGGCTCCCAGAGCGCACGGGGGGGGGGGGGTTTCACAAACAGCCTCTGGTCCCCTTTGTCCTCCCTTTTCCTGAGGAACTTCCTGGCTCTGCCCCGAAACCCCCGCTGCCAGCCCTCACCCCACGGCTGCCCCAGTGGGGTCCCGCTAGCTCTGGGACAGGAAGGACCTGGCCGTACGTGCGGCATAGGACGTCCCTGACCTAGAAGATGGAAAGGAGACTTCAGGTCAGCAACATTTACTAAGCGCCCGCCCGCCTGGGCACCGGGGATGCCATCCAGCCCTGGTACACCTGCAAGGAGATAACACCGCCCCACCATAAGTCAAACCAGGACCTCCTCCCAGCGCCTCCACCCCGGGACCCTCCTTTGCAAACCCCCACAGCCCTGCCTGCAAACGGGCAGGAGACCGGCCCCGCGCTTTGCTTCGGCAAACTGCCGGGAAGGCAAAGAGCTCCTCCGCCGAAGCCCCGCCGCAGTGCTAGAGCAGAGCAGCGGCCCCCTCGCAACGGCTCGGGTTCGCTCCCCAGCACTACGGCGGCAAACCCGGGCGCCGGGCAAGAAAACAGGCTTCGAACAACGCGGTCCCCGGCGGCGCGCTGGGCAGGACCAGCTGGCAGCGCCCCTCGGAACGGGGGGAACCCGGAGGGGTGTAGGACCCTGCAGAGTCCCTCCTGCTACGGCCCAGGCAGACGCGCGAAATAGCAGCCGCCGCCGCGCGGCCGCCGTACACCTGCTAGCGGCGTGAGCCCAGCTCGCCTCGGAACACACCCGAGCCGCCTGCTGCCGCTCTCTGGCAGAGTGCTTCCCCGTGCTCTGCAAAGGCGCCAGCTCAGCTCCGTCCGGGAACACACAGCCTGCTCCCGGGGTCTTTAGCTAACCTGTGTGTGCGCGCGCCCACGGCAAGGGCGGGGAGCCGGGGAGAGTGCAACAATCAGGCAGATATTACTGTCAAGCCCTCTCTCAACTTTCGTCCAGAGTTTCGGCTAGGCTGGAAAGCCCAGCTGCATTGCCCGTATTATTTTATTGTCTTCATCCTAGTTTCGGCCAGACAACGGGTGTTACTTCCTCTGTACGTGTGTTTGTGTATAAAATTGCAAATCGTTTAGCAAAACAATCATAAAGCAGGGAAAGCCCTGCCAGTTTCCCTGTTAGCTGCTGCTGCGAGCTCTGAGAGCGGTGTGCTGCTGTGTGTGACTGAAGGAGAGTGTTCGGAAACAACGTTAAATTATCAGACAGAAAAGTCTGACACCGGCTGCTATACGGTGACTGTGCACGTTTTAATCCTCTCCGCCCTCCCTCGAATACCTTTGGAGATCATCCCTTACAACACTGGTATTATCTAAACAGACCCACAAAGCAATAAAATACAATTTAGATCTTGTTCAACATCTGGCATTAAAACATGAAGAGGAGAAAAAAAAACCCACCCCAGGACTTTGTTTTTACGACCTAATTTAAGTGCTGTCAGGTGGGTTCACTCACAAGTTAACTCCTTCCAACAGCCTGGAAGACTGGATAGCTACGAAGGCACCACCCTCCTTAAAAACCAATAAGTCACTCCATCCAAAGTGACTCGGCTACTTTTATATATGCACCCAACAGAGTCTTTAAAATTACACTGCCAGGAGGGTAGCTCCAGGCCTATTTGCCTACGTGTGCGCGCACAGGCTCTTAAAAGTGGATGAAAGCATAAGCCCTCCAGTTCTCAATGCTGAGTCACAAATAGCGACCTCTGGAAATGAAATCCACGGAATGCTCTTTAAAATTAGCTCCCAGCTTTACACACATAGCTCAGAGAGCCCACATTTTGCTGCATGCTTATGGAAAATGACAAGCACCGGTCTTAACTGGATACCTGCGCGCCCTATAATTCCTACCTCCTACAATGTATTGTCATTATTCTTATTTCATGACTAAGATCTTGTTTTATGCACGCAGAGATCATTCAGAGAGAGATCTTGTGCGGACAGGGAGGGTCTGCCGGTGGATCCCTCACTGAAAATCAAGACGATCAGTTTATAATTCAGGTAGTTAACTTATTAAGATTTTTTAAAAATCCTTCCATAAAAGTGGCTACAGACTGAGAGCCACTCCCTTCAGGAAACTCAGTGGATTTTAAATTGTAGTAGTTACTGATTAAAAACCCTTTAAACTCCCGAAATCAGCCCATTCAGTAGAAGCGTCCTGAACAATTAACAAAAACTCCCAATATCTCTCTCTACCCTTAGGCATAACTTAGAGCTAGAAAATATTACTACTAAAAATACTGCAAGTGCCGCTGCTTTGGCTGCTGCAGTTGTGCCACCCGCGTATCTGCATTTCCGTACACATTTCTTTAGCTGGCCCGTCATAACAATAAATCATTCTCCTCCCGTCTCGTTTCCCCCCGTCTTTTTATTAGTTCTATCACAGTATTTCATCACATGACCACTAAAGGGTTAATGATAATACCTACCAAATCTGCTGTGGTCTTGCCTGGTTCCCTGGATAGTACCATTGGGGAAGATTTCTAAATGAAATCCAGTCCTGCAGTATAGCTGCCTCCGCCTGAGGATCCCCTTTAAATGGTCCAAGTCCGTGACTGCAGGCCCCCTGGGTAGCCCACCTGCCTCAGACTGACCCAGGTGGTCACTTAACAAACCCGGACTATCCACCGGCAAAACGGGCACATTCCCAAAGGGTACTGCATCCTGCACACCGAAATAGTTCCCAACTTCACCTAAGGGAGCCATCAGAAGATTCTGTTTTTAGAGAACAAGAATAAACAATAATGGTGCCAAACCCAGGAGATATAAGATTGGGTATATCCACTCCACTTCCCCTCCCTATTGCAGTTACAGAGAAAATGTTCTTTCTTCAATCCATTAAATGCATAAATAAAAGTAATATTCTGTTTTGACTGGTACAGGGTCAAGGTCAAACCCCTGTTAGTCTAAGAAACCACCACTTTATACTCACACACTGACATATTTATAAACATATATATGTGTATATCTATATATATGTATATATATCCCCAGCTCTTAGCAAGCAGTAAGGTCTTCAGCCCATCCAACTGTAATAAGGAAAAAAATCCGTAGTTTCTCCATTTGGTTTAAGATAAGAATGACCATAGCAACTTAAATACCTAGGCGTTATAGGGATTTTTTTTAAGATGCACAGGCTACGTCAGGATTTATGGATTCTGACTCCAGAAAGGCATGCGCTGTTTTTACTCTATAACAGACTGCATACATCAGCATGAATCCTGCAAGGGGGCGGGGGAATCTCACGTTGCTGGCGGAGATAAATCCGAAAAAGAAAAAAAAGAAAAAAACTTTTGACGTCCAGATCTATTATCCAGAATTCTCAGGAGGCTCAGCAGATGTCCGCTGGTTTAGAATTATTGACGATCCACAAGCAAAGCAGAAACGTACAAGTGCTTGTGTCTTTCTTGGCTGGCTCGAAACAGGTGTTGCTTCTGCAGGGCTCCCTGTGAAATGTTGTACTCCAGCACTGAGCTGCAGCTCTTGACTGTGGATCTCCATCCAGCACGCAGAGTGGCGCAGGAAGAGGCATTGGGCTGGGTTTAAGGTAGTCCTGATTGCTACTGGGAGGATTCTCCGAGGTCCTAGCGCTCAGCTCTACCTGCTGCAATACAGATACGGCTCCAGCTCTATTCACTACTTAAAGTAGCTCTCTGACTGCTCTGCGGCAACGTATGCATGCACATAATTAAATAAATGCCCAGAAACTTTATGGTATAAATGAAACACGTGCTTAATGTGTAAAGCCACACTGCTGCTGGAAGCCGGATCTCTTTGGAGATCCCTGCAGAGTCAGGTCCACCATAGCATTGGATAAAAAGCATTATCATTGTAACTGGAAAACTACTCTGAAGGTGGATTCTGACATTCCCGGTGTTATTTGCGATAGGGGACTTAGAGGTCACTGACGGTCTGGAAATCAACCCCGCTCTTGCGAATGTAGATAGAAATACCAGCCTCTGTGTCAGAGCAAATCATTGCTGGTTACACTGACAATTGTATGTCAGGTACATTGGATGCCAGCCACCTGTCCCCATGAAGCACAGCGTGGAAATTCGATCGGTCGCCTGGAAGTTTGTGAAACACTTTTATTGGAGCCCCATTATTCTTCAGCTTTACCACGTGGAAGTTTTCCTTCGCTGGAGCCTGACCCCATTTCAGCGCTGTCGCACCACACAGCTCATGGGAGGTGAGGGGCGCTGGGGAGCCGCCGCAGCCAGGAGTAGTCCAACTCGCACCGGAGGGGGCACTTTTGGGACAGCTCTACCCTGCCTTTCTTTTCTACTGTGATCTACGGTACTCACACGCTAGGGAGAGCCTGGCTCTTTGCTCGGAGGAAGCTGTAGACTCCTGCAGTTCAGAATCAGGATAAGAGCGTGGGATTATAAACGGCTTTTAAGGCTCGCGAGCATGAAGTGGAGAATCTGGACAGTGTCCCCGTGCTGCTTCCAAAGTCTCCTGCAGCAGCCGACTCCCTTAATGCTTCATAATGAAATCACTTTTCTGTGAACCGGACTCTTCGACGGGTTTCTGCGAGCAAACTACAGTCCAATGCAATTTTAAAGTAAACTACTCTGCTGGAAACCCAAATAGTTTACAAATCAGTATTGTCCTAGCAACAATAACGCAATGCACCGCAACAATCTGTTGCGGGGAGGGGGCGAAAGGTTACTAGTAAATCTGGTGGGTTTTTATTTATTTGTCACCAGCCATATCACAGCAATGAGAAGGAAGTCGCCAGAAGGGTCTGTTGATTTGCCAGAAAGATTATTTTATATCAAGGTCATGTCATTATATCAAAGACATGACCCTCTGATGGGGCAGGGCCCAAAGAGGTTAGTGGTGGAGGCTGGAGACTGGTCTTTGAGAGGAAGAATTTTGCAAGCAGATGAAAAATAATATATTTGGTGGTTCTTTTATGTGGGTGGCTATCAAGGAGCTGGTGTGACCCATCTCACCTTTCCCAGCTACAACAGTTTGAAGAACAGAATGGACAATATTCAGTTTTGGACTAGCGACAGATTTAAAATCCAATATCTCACTGTATAATGGGACTAGAAATTTGTACTTTATGTTCCTGGAGAGGAGCTGGGAGCCATCTTCCCACCTGTTTCTAGCCCTGGTAAACAACCACATATCAGACGCTCAGATCACTTTGTTATATTACCATTGCTGTGTCAACAATGCAAACTTTCATTGCCCATTAGTCCAATTTTCTAACAAGCAATTTCATGCTCTCTCATGTCACCCATTACATATGGAAAAAGCTTCCCAGTAATATCCCAAAAGCCACTACATAACAATCTTCAAATATGTTAATGGCTATTATAGAGAGGACAGTTCTCCATGTCCACTGAGGTTCTGACAGAAGCAATGGGCTTAGTCTACAGCAAGGGAGATTTAGGTTAGATATTAGGGAAAACTTTCTGACTGTAAGGGTAGTTATTTTCTGGAATAGGCTTCTAAGGGAGGTTGTGGAATCCCCATCATTAGAGCTTTTTAAAAAAGGTTGGACAAACACATGTCAGGGATGGTCTAGGTTAACCTGGTCCTGCCTCGGTTCAGGGGACTGGACTTGATGATCTCTTGATCTCCAGCCTTATGATTTTATGAGTGTTTTCCTTAAAATCTCTCCTTAAAATTCATCTCTGCCAAAAACACTTGATATTGGCTAGGCCTGCTGCTTTTTGTGCTAATCATGCCTGTTTCACTGTTTTGTTATCTTTCCACAATGACACACCTGTTGTCTTTCATCGTGGGGAGAGATTTTTTTTTATAACCTATGTCTCCTATACCTCATATAATGGATTTTGGTCCCTGAGTTGGGCCTCTGGGTGCTACCATAATACAATCTACACCAGCATTAGGTGGGTGTTTGAAAGCTGTTCAGAAGTTTGTAATGTCAGCAGCAGAGATGGATTAGTGGGCAGAGTGCAGGTGAAATGGCTACAAGGTTATCACATGAATAGCAGCACCATAGTTAAGAGAAGGAGAGATGCACATACACACATATGGGATATAGAAGTTTTGTGGCATAAAGGTTTTATCTAACTTGAGGCTTTGATGTCTGAATTACTCATAAATATCAAAGCCACACATGAAGTATGCAGGACATCCCAAATATTATACCCCTCTGTAAGTAAGTGGTGTTCCAGCCTGGCACCACACAAAATCTATACACGATGCATAATGTCAAATGCACCCCCTCACAAAAGTTTGCCTTTATTGATACCTCAAGCAATATTAAAAGCCTACACTTTTATCCCCAAGACATCCATGTGGAAATGTCTCTATCCCTAGTTCCTTTTAACCAGAGTTTCACGCCTACCTCTCTTATATCCTGGTGGAGTTAAAAGGTTGCGTCTGCCACAATGAGTCATCAGAAGTTACTTCTCAGCTTTCTACAGGATTTTAACTGCTAACAGAGTGGATCAACACAGTCTTGCATCTCCATGCAGGATGTAGTTCCTGGCACCCTGTTGCACCACCATATAAACTTCCCATATGTTCCACATCAATGTGATATTTTTGAGATGCAGTACATGTATCATGCACCTTTTACTGCTTCACCTCCACTTTGCCCACCAGTTCATCCCCTGCCTTATTTCTCACATATCAAATTCTGAGCAACTTCTTATGACCACCATCATAAAAAAATCAATTTGCCATGAGAAAAGATTCTTCCTTTCCCAAAAACATATGGAGATTCACCCAAAAATGCTTGGGCCTCACCCCTAGGATGAGCAATACTGAGTCCTGGATCAGTGTTAGGTTTAAGATTCTGTACTTTGTAGAGGGAGAATTGGAAGATTTATACCATTGGAAAGAGAGGCTTCTTAGTTTTCCAGAGGGACACATAGCATTTGCTTCTGGTCCTAGAAAGTCTTGAGTTATCAGACTTTAAAGAAGTGATATTTGTCGCTATTTTAGGAGGCAGTGTGCCCGAGAAGCAGCTACTCTGTGTGTCATGTTCCCTTAATCTGTATAGATATCTACTCATATATCTGCACGAGTTAATGCTGCTTCAAACAACATTAACTCTTATTTTGTGCCTTCAGCCCCCTAAGCAAAAGGAACTGTTTAACCAGCTATGGACAGAGGATCCACTGGCAACTTAGAGAAGCTATGCTGCCATGAAGGAGAAGGGATCCAGTCATCACCATGGAGGGATCAGCTCTCAGTGGGGCTCCAACTTCCTTTTCCCATGAGTGCCCAGGATCTGCAGTTTGCATTCTGTGTGGTCCCACATATAACCCACCAGGTGAATTTAGGGGAGTTTTGCAGGACATCTGTCAGCCTTCTGCAAACTTCACTGCAGGATGACAGTATACCGGTAATTATTATTACTGATTATGGCATTCTAGATGCACATGGAATTGTGCAATAGGACTGCGCTAAACATATACCCATGCCTTGAAGTCCTTACATTCTAAGACAATGGCATGGTACAGTGCAAATGAAGAAAACAATACATCAGAGGTGACATTGAAAACGTGCTTGTCAGATGCATGCATAAAAACTGGAATTTAGGCATGTAATACTATTTTCAAGTTCTCTCCCAGGAGGGGAGGGATTGAGAATTGAATCAAGGCAGAGAAAAGGTGTTAGGATTGTGCGCAGGGGATTCAATTAAGTTGGAGAAGTAGAGTTGGTTAGCAAGGAAGATGGCAGAACTGAAGGAGGAAAGAACAAATTTGTAGTGGAGGTCACAGGATTTCCACCAGAGATGCTCCACAGTGAAAGACCAACAGCAGAGGAAGCTGAGGTAGGGGGTGAGCCACGGTGGACCTGACTGTGGGAGAGAAGGGCAAAGGAGTCACAGGTGGAGGAGAGTGAAGCATGGAGAGACTCAACAACCATATAATTGGAACAGAGGTCTGAGAGGAGATGCGATGTTATCAATGCTTATGGACTGGAAGTCAGCAGAAAGGCTAAGAGACAAGACACTGGGGAAATGGGGAGGGCTGATGAGTGCTGCTAAAAGAGACCATGTGATGGTTGGGGAGTGGGA